AGAGTCATCAATATTATACAAAGGAGGGGATATGCCGACAGCGGCTACGTTGGGTGAGGGTGGAGAAGAAGGTGGCATTGGTGGGGCTTGGTAGTTTTATTAATTTTAAAACGAAGTTTTAAATTTCATTTTATTTTATTTTTTTTGTAAAACAAACTCAATGGCAATTCGTGTCACTGTAGACATCGCTTAACGAATTTTTGGATGACAACCGTTAAGTGGTGGTAAAAACCCATTTTTAAAATTTTTTTGGTTAAAATAATTTTTTTTTTTTTTTTTTTTTTGGAGGTGGTAGAAACAATTTCAGTCTTTATTTTAGGTGTTAAAATTCAACATTCCTTTTATTAAGGGCTTGTTCTATCTGATTTACTGAATTGAGGTAAACTGAACTGAACTTAACTAAACTGAACCGAATAGAGCTGAAATGAATTGTTTATGACAGAAGAAAAATAGGAACTGAACTGAATTGAAGTTAATTGAACTGAACTGAAATGAACTGAATTGAAATTAAGCAGAAGAGAGAATATGCCCGATCTATCTTCTTAAAAAATAAATGTATACTATATAATAAACTAATCACCAGCGTTATTCCTACTGTACACGTGTTGCACTCATAATAAAAATTTTCCCTCCAAAAACCTTTTTTTTTTTTTTTTTTTTTTTTTTTTTTTTTTACTTTAAACAATAACATGATAACAATAAAAATATTTGACAAAAAGTTTTAAAGGTAGATAATTATTTTATTTATTTATTTATTTTTTGTATAAGTCATTTCATTTAAACTAATTTTATTTTATTTGACTTTTATTATATATAAGTCTTATTATTATTTATTAGGAATTTGTTCAAGGCAAAAACTAGTAAATAAATAAATTAAGTCTTATTATTATTGTGAAACGCTAAACATCGCCCGCAATTTACCATATAAAGCCCACAAATATGTTATGATTTGACCATTATGCCCTTTTGCTAAAATTGAGATAATCTCGGTGTAAAAAATGTGGAGCCGTACTGGCTCGTCGGGGGAGACCGGATGGCAGGCCGGAGATGCGGGGGACGCCGGAGGTACGTCGTCGTCGACGGAAAACGAGGTAAGTGACCGCTAAAATTCACGGTTTACCGTCGTAGTGGCTCCGGCGCCTAGGGTGGACGCCCAAACCGTAGCCTGGACGTCCAAGCCGGACGCCAGAACCACCAGAGTGGCGTCCAGGCTAGACGCCCAGACCACCAGAGTGGCGTCCAGCCCAGACCACCAGACTGGCGTCCTGGGCAGACGCCACTCCACTGGGTGAGGCGGCCCTGCCAGGCGCCAGTCCAGTGGGTGTGGCAGCCCTGGCAGACGCCACCTTTAATAATTAATTTTTATTTTTTCCTTTTTGATTTTGTTGTTGTTTTTTATTTAATTTTTTTGTGAAAATAAAAAATCGAAAATGATTTTTTAAAAAAATTCGAAATGGGTTTTTTGTAAATTAAATTTGAAAATTCGAAATAGGTTTTTTTAAAATTAAATTTGAAAATTCGAAATGGTATATTTTTAAATTTAGTTTGAAAATTCGAATTGGGTTTTTATAAAAATTAAGTTTGATTATATATAATTATGTTTTTTTTTGTGTTAATTATGTGGAAATATAGAAATTAAATGTATTATCCGTTAAATGTATTTATTGTAATATATAATTGATGCAGGAATATGGTGGAGACGGAAATGATTACAGTGAGATATTTGGACATGATGGTCCATTTGAAGAAGCTCAACAGGCGATTGATTGGGCAAAACAGGTTGCAATTGCAGCTGGATTTTGCTTGGTAGTAGCAACTCATAAATCTCAACGGGATGGTAGAATGGATCGCATTTTGAGATGTGATCGTTATCGCAAAAGAGAAGAAAGAGATTTTCGTACAGCCACTCGGTTTGACACAAAGCGGAAAGGTTGTGGGTGTGAGTTCAGAGTAAAGGTTCGACAACTACGGAGTCGTGACGGTTGGGAAGTGATAGGTTACTCTAAATGGGGGTATCACAACCATGAGATGATAGTATATGAAGAGGGTCATCGACAACTGAGCGGCTTAAGTCCTGCTGCGAAACTAGTTGTGAAAGAAATGAGTGATGCTCAAGTGAAGCCTGCTAAAATATTAGCATCTGTGTTAGAGAAATTTCCAGAAGACCATCCAAACCGAAGACACATCTACAACGTCAGACAGCAACTCAGGTTTGAACGGTCAGAGGGAAGGAACCCTATACAGCAGCTGCTACACCAGGCACAATCACGTGGTTACCTGTTCTGGTTTGATTCTGATGAAGATACAGCGGATGTGACTCATCTTTTCCTTGTGCATCCTGATTGTGCTGATATGATCAAGTCTTGGCCATTTGTGATTTTGATCGACTCAACGTACAAGACAAACAAGTACAAGTTCCCTCTGGTTGAGATGGTTGGGATGGCTCCAACGAACCAGAACTTTCTGATTGGTCATGCAATCATCAGGGATGAGACGGCTCCAAGTTATTATTGGGTTTTGGAGAAGCTGAGAAACTACATCGGGCCTAATGTTCATCCAACAGCCATCGTCAGCGACTGTGAGAAACTACATCGGGCCTAATGTTCATCCTAGTTGGCGATACAAATACGCCAACGTAGCCGATCCCCAGGAAAACTGGCCTACACTGTCGGGGTCACACGCCTCTACGATGTCGCGTGGCCTGAGCTTGTTTCCGCCGCTCTTATCCGGAAACAAGGTACATCCGAGGAGTAGAAAAACATAAGCACGCAGCTGTGCGTCGGGCGTCCTACGTGCACTCGGGTACAAACACCGCTGCAACACGGATGCGATCTTCACACCTCCGTGTTCCCAAACACCTAGCGCCTCGGTGTACAGTGCAGCCCTGTCCACCGCCAACAACTCCGCCAGCGAATCTGCCTGATCCGCATCAGCCACAGCACAAAGTCGTTTACCCTCAACACGAATCCCCAGAATGGCCTCGACGTCATGTAACATGATCGTCATCTCACCGAACGGAAGGTGAAAAGAGTTTGTATCCGGCTGCCATCGCTCAATGAAAGCCGTGATCAGCGTACTGTCAATCTTATCGTGCATGGTGGCAGGAACGTGCTTCACCCCAGTGCCCTCCAGTCGCTCGAACATCTCGCTCTCCGCCGGCCAGGCCTCAGCCCATGTACGCAAAAAACTACAAGTCTTTTCCCGGGTATGACATTTCAACAACCCCGTAACTGAAGGCCTCTCCTGGTCCTCCTAAATACGGGCAGCTATGTGTCCTAGAAAGCTAGGAATCACACTCCCGTCAACAGGCCCACCGGGCACCTCACTCCTAACAACCCAAGAATCATTACCCGCCCTCGACCGTTTCCTGCTTGCCCCAGAGACAGTGGACGCAGATGATGTGCCAGATCTACTAACAAACCTACCACCCCTACCCTTACGCACCTCCACCATATGCGTCTCGTACATGTCATCAACCCTCTGACTGAATGGACCGTAATCATCATACGGTCCACTGCCATCGTCCACATCCTCATCCTCATCTGCGCCCTCTTCCTGCTCCTCCTCCTGGTCACCCTCCTCAGCATCATCATCGTCATCATCATCCTCATCCCGACGGTGGATCCGTTCTCTACGAACTGAGGCCGAAATACCACGGGATCTGACATGTCTATGCCCCGACCTCTCCACTGAATAACTTCTACTAAGAAGCTCTATATTCTTCCCCCCACCATGACGACCCTACACAAAATTTTAAAATATATAAACATACAAAAATTTATACGATAAATAATCATCATCGCAAATCAAATACACTAAAAACATACAAATAATAGTAAACAAAATATAAACGTAGAAAAAATACAACGAAATTGAAAAAAATTATAAAAATAAACAACAAAATATAAAAACAATTCAAAATTATATTACAAAAAAAAAAAAAAAAAATTAAAAACAATTTTTTAAAAAAATTAAAAAAAAAATAAAAAAAAAAATGGGGGGGGGGGGGCGCCCTGGCTGGACGCCCAGCCGGCGGTGGTGGCGCCAGATGCAGACGCCGCCACCAGTTGGCTGGCGCCTGGGCTGGACGCCACCGCCACGGTTGTGGCGTTTAGTCTAAGCGCCGCAGCCGTGGCTGTGGCGTCCAGCCCAGGCGCCAGCGAACTGGTGGCGGCGTCTGCATCTGGCGCCACCACCGCCGGCTGGGCGTCCAGCCAGGGCGCCCCACCGCGTTCACGGCGGTTTTCCCTTTTTTTTTTTTTTTAAACAAAATATACCTTTCCTCCTTGGGACATCCTTCCCTCCGCCGCCGCCGCCACTTCCTTGCCTTGCCGCCTCGACATTGCCGTTATTTTGAATTTTTTTTTTTAGAGAGGTTGAAAGAAGATGAGCAATGAGAGTGTGAGTGATGAGAGTGTGAGTGTTTTTTTTTTTAAGAAATTTTGGGAAACCAAGTGAATTTTGTGGGCTTTTTGTAGTAATTTGTGGGCGATGTTTAACAAATCCCTTATTGTTTAGAGCACTCCCAGCAGTGAGGAGAAAAGCCCTCACGAGTAAAAATAAGGGTGTAAAAAAAAAAATCCGAACACTACATCAGTGAGTGAAAAAACACTCACCGATGAGTGAAAATAAAAACCCTCAAGAGTTGAGGGCTTTTGGTGATGAACAGTAACATGTGGCCCCCACTGCTTTTGTTGTTTTTTTACAACGGTTATATTTTGTATTTGAAATATAACCGTTGTAATTATTTAAAAAAAAAAAAAAATTCACCAACGACCATAAATTTTTTTTCTCTATAAATAAACATGTATTTTGATATACTTTCAAAAAAAACCCATAAATTAGAGAAATTAACATATTTTCCCAATTTCTTCTTGTTATTATTATTATTATTATAATTATTTCTTATAAAAAATATTTCCAGTTAGTATTATTAATATTTTTAAACGTAATTATAAATTTTTATTAAATTATTTTTAAACGTAATTAAAAAATAAATTAAAAAATAGTGGAGGAGAAAGTGATGAGAGGTTTTTTTTTCTCCTCATTGCTGTGGTGAAAAAAACATTTGATGAGAGAAATTGTATGGGAGGAGTGAGAAAGTGGGTAGAGAGAGATTGAGAGGTTTTTTTTTTTCGTCACTGCTGAAAATGGTCTTAGAGTACCATTTTTCATCCCTCAACCCACAAAGTAGAGAATATAGTTAAAGTGTTAAACCCTTAGCACAGTTCCACTCTCACCTTTCTGACTACACTCCTTCATTTCTTCTTCAACTATTAGCAAAACACAGTCAACATTTCTCCTCTTCAATGGTTCAAATACAAGAACAAGAAGAAGATGCAATTCAACAACAAACAACAAAACCATCATCACACTTAAACCCAAAAAATCAAATGGAATCTTCATCTTCCACTTCTCTCTCCTCCCACCAGCTCCCCACCACTTCTCCACTCGCTCATTCACCCACCTCTTCTATTTCTTCCATTGACTCTGACCACACTTGCCACGCTCTCTCACCCACCAAAGAAACCTTCACTTCCCCCTCTCCGTCTCTAAACCCCATCCCGGTTCAGTCACTAGTTCCGGTTCAAGGGACCAGCCGGTTAACCCGTGACCCACCTGAGAGGATAACCAAGACTGAACCCGAAGACGGGACCGGGTTGGCTAGTGAAAAGATTAGCACAGCTAACAGGCAACAACTGCCGGCGTTAAAGAGGGCTAAGAATGGGAAGATGGTTAAAAGAGCGGGTTTGGTGTTGCGGTTAATCGAATTTGTTTTATGTTTGATTTCGTTCTCTGTCATGGCTGCTGATAAGAATCGCGGTTGGGCTCTTGACTCTTTTGATCGTTACATCGAATTCAGGTTTTTTTTTTCTTTGTTTGGTTATTATCGACTATGATAATTGAATTTGCTACACATATTTTAATTTCGATTATGATGGTAATATAATTCCAATATACTGTAAGATTTTGGACTTGTTATTGAATTTTACCATTTACCAATGGAGAAATTATTTTATCTGACTTATGATGATGAGTATCTGATACTTGTACATAGGGTTCTGTTGTTACATAATTAGAACTTGAAAGTATGCATGAATTGGGATTAATTTAAATGTGACGGTGTACAGGTACGCGATGTCAGTAAATGTTATCGGCTTTGCGTACTCTGGTCTTCAAGGACTTGATCTGCTTCTCCAATTGACTACAAGAAAGGATTCTAGGAGCCAAGTTCGGTATGCTTTCGATTTTGCTAGTGATCAGGTTAGTAATGTTTTACAATTTTTTGAATCTTTTGATTTATTTCTTTGCTGCATTATTGCATTTTTCGTAGTGGTGAATTGGTGATTGAACTTGATATTGCCCAAAATACTAAACTATGTTATTTAATTATTGTAGTTTGTTGTGGGAAGAAAGCTTTCAATTTTTGGAATTATGTTCTTGATTGAATTATAAAATGTTCACCCACTTCTAAAAAACTGCCTCTTGTATATTTGTCTTAATAATTGAGGTTTGTGCGGTTGTGCCTAAATGATAAGCTGAAGGTAAATAATTCCGAAGTTAACTTGTAAGCTTACTTTATGCTATCGTGCCTTTAACATACACATCCTCTGCTATTCCCAATTTGAAGTATATATGTAAGCATGGCAAAGTTTTTATGTGACTATCTATCTGAAGTGCAAATCTGATCGATTAAGTGAATGTCTAGTTAAAGTCATTTGGGTTTTCTTACTTTTGTGTTGGCGTACACTCTATAGTCTATACAAATCTAGAAATTATACGAATTAAAGTGTCTAGAAACATTAATGTTCTATCATTTTCTTGTTTATAATAGAAACAATGGGTAGTAGATGTTAATTATATCCTAAATACCAGGCTTTCATATTGACAAGAAGGGTTCTGATTTTCTGAAGATGGTAGTGGCATAGATAATTTAAGATGCTTTATGTAAGCCACAAAACTAGTGCAAGATTCTATATAGGTGGTTAGGTGCAACAAAAACTATCTTTGTATACACAATCTTATGCATTTGGAGGTTTGTAGGGGTTGTATTTTCATTCGTATCTAGTCAGTAGTTGGTACTCACCAGTACAATACCACCCCTCCCCCAAAATATCCATGTTGGCATTAGTTTTTGTGATGTCTGGTTGTTATGCTCGAAGTCATAGTAAGTCTGAAAGAAAATATATGGAAGAAGTTCAATTAGGATATTTGTTAGGTCAAGTTTTGCAAGCAAAATTATGATGAAATTTCATGAGCCGAAGTAGGTTCTTAGACTTTTCGGGTGTAAAGATTGCAAACCAATCTGAAAACTGCGAGCCAAAATTTAGGAAACATTATCTATATCTTTCAACATGTTTGTATCTCCTCGGATATTATCAAATATAAAATGCAGTATCAGTTTTTATGTGAGTGCATCTTGGTGTAACTAGTCTGAAAAGGTAATACTCCCACAAAATACTTAAACGGGATGCCTTTTCCTTGGCTATAAAATTTGGAAGATCAACTTGATCAAGAGGATTACTTTGCTTTGAAGAATTTTTAGTGCTGCTGGGATTGCATTTTTATCACCTTTATTCTATTTTTTGTTTTCCATATAAATGGTCGGTATTTCTTGTCATATTAAATTCTCTACTTTTTGAAGTACTACTACATAATAAACCTTAAATAGGCCTCTTGTAACTGTCTCATTTTCAGTTGTAGGTAGAGGTGAAAGATAATTTTACATATCTAATCGTAATAACAAACGAGTACCTTACTCGTGGAATCTAGTAGAGTAATTCTTTATTTTGCTTGTATGTCACAAGTAGCAGATTGGAAAGAGTAGATACTGTCCGTGCTGAATTCTTTTATTATTTATGTTTGGAAATGTTGATCGTAAACTAACCTCAATTGTATTCTCATTGCCACCCTTCATATCATCTAGTAGGTCTTTAAATGATCCTCAGGGCCGTCTTGAACTTTTTGGGGGCCTTGTGCTATTTAAAATATGAATCTGGTGTAAAAAATAAAAAATAAAAAAAATTATTGAATTCCTATTTTTTTATTATCTCCATTCCATAATACTCGAGCAATTGACACGCTTAAACTTAACACACATGACAATATGTGAGTTTGACTTGTTATTAAGCATTATCTTTTTTTTTTTTTTTTTTGACGGGAACTTAAATTATTTAGAAATTAATATAAGTAATTAAACTTCATATTAAAAGCTATGTACAAACATTGGTGCGTGTGGGGAGAGTCGAACTCGAATCTACCGACCAAGGCTCTGAATCAATGAATAGCTACAAAAACCAACTCAACGACTTTGTTATAATTTGCATTTATTCATTGTATATTGTTTTTATACTTAAACTGATTATACAGATTTTGGGGGCCCAAGTAACATGAGGCCCTGTGCACAGCCCAATAGCCGGCCCTGATGTTCCGATTCTTACATAATCCCCCAAACTACCGCCCCACCCCTCCCCTTTACCGTGAAACAATCCCCTCGATCCCAACCATTCCCCTCGCCGTCTCTCTTTCTTTTTACACCCACCTTCTTTTCTCTTGCTCTTTACTTCACTCTTTATCTAACCCAAAACTGTAAAGATGATGTTTCAGCCTTGATATTGTACTACCCCCATGGCAGGTGTCTTTATCATGGACTCACCCTTGAAGAAATTTGAATGGCTCTTGTCCCTGATTTGTTCTAGCGTCTCCTATACTTTTATGTCACTGAAGATTTTAAGGAAGATAATATGAAAGGGAAGACAGTGGGGTCGAAAATGAGTTTGGAAGACCGCTGGGGTTGCAACTTGCAAGAGAGTTGACAAAAAATGATTTTAATGTATTTTAGACAGTGACAATATTAATCTCTAGAAAAGTTTGGTTTTACTACTGTTTTGATTGTGTTAGTTTCAGTTGATTAAATTCGGTCGGATGTCGTCCTAAAGCTGATTTAGTTTCATCGGGTATTTTTCTTTATTAAGATTGAAACCCTTTGTCAGGTTTACATGATCCTGATCCTTGCTAGTTATATGTTCACATACATTTTAATTCGGAAATCTAAAGTTTTGTACTGTTTTTTGAAAATCTGTACTGTCTTTTGAATGGCAGGTGTTGGCATATCTTCTACTATCAGCCTCATCTTCGGCTTTTACAAGAGTGGATGACTGGATTTCCAACTGGGGTAATGACAATTTCCCCGCTATGGCAACTGCATCAATTGGAGTATCTTTCGTTGCCTTTGCCTTTACCTCTATCATCTCTGGCTATTTACTTTGTACTCAAAAGTTAACTTAAAACATGCCATTTACAAATATACTTGTATTATGCATTGTGGATTGACGCATTGATCTACGTCTTTTTCTTTTTTATGTACATGCTAGTTACTTGTATGTACTTTAAGATCGATGTAATGTTTTGTTACTTTTTTCAAGCATTGTGTTGTACGAAGTAGTATTATCTATTTAGGAATTAGGATGTTATGTTCTCAAATTCTTTTCCATGGATACCTAAGCAGCTAAGCTAGTAAAATATTACTCCAAATTATTATTGTTTATTATTTTTTTTTCCAACCACGTCAATTAGACTGATGTATTGAGAACTTAAATTTCTGGTGCAATAAAAGAAAAACGGAGAAAGTATTAACTATGTATGTGATACACAAAAAACCTTGTAATGATTAAAATAATTTCAAATTGAATTCACCATAATATAACTTATCTAGCTAATGATATAGATGGATTTGTGGCTTCCAAAGCTAATTAATGATTATTGTTTCAGAAAAAAAAAAAAAAAAAGAAAAAAAAGCTACTTAATGATTAAACGAACATATATCATAGTCTGTTTTATTCGATTAAAATTGCTAATTTTGAATTCATAGGTATAAATAAGACAAGAGAAATTAGCTAATATATGATGCACATTCTGTATTTGATCTAAACTATACTATATTAAAAAATATCTTATGTATTTTGGACTTCGTTGAATAAAAAATCTATGTTTATTGTAAGGTTATATAGAGTATACTTGACTGATAATTATACATATAACTTGGGGTCACTAATTGTTAAGTGAGAGTCGTGTGACATGGTTAACGCTAGAAAACCAAGTTAACAGGATTACTCCAACGTAAGATTACATGGTAGTTAATTACGACATTTCTTGTATATGACATTTCTTGTATATATGGTAGTTTCTAGCGAAACTCAATTGATAAGGTAGTTTTTACTTAAAAATGCTGAAATAAATTACTTATACTTTAAAACACCGTCTTCTGTAGTCTTTCAAGTAAGTAGCAATGCATATGCAAGTCACTATTAAGCTATGCATAAATAAGAATTTTGAAGATAATAGTCTCGCATCTAACAAGAGCCAAATTATAACAGTTAAAAGGTTCTAGAAAGGCTCTTAAATCTAAACTAGTTTCATGCTAATGCCTAATGAGATCAATTCCTCTTTAAGCTATGTCACTCCGTTGGAATTCTAATAAATTCCTAAGGGTTCGTTTGACATTGTTGTGGTTTTCTATTTTTTGGTTTTTGAAATTATAATAATTTTGAAAACTGACAACAGGAAAGTGGAAACACCTTTTTCTTGTTTTCTGTTTTTGGTTTTTGGTTTTCAAAAAAAAGGAAACTGAAAACCAAAAATGATGCCAAACAAGCCCTAAGTTTTTGTTTTTGTTTTTGTTTTTGTTTTTGTTTTTTTCCTTTCTATATGAAGTTGTGTTGATGAAAAAGGTCTTGATAACGTAAAGATATTAATGAGGTTAACATAGAAGAACGATGGCAATTCTAATTCTTTCAGATTAAACATTTAGTAGTGGTTACTTATTTACTCACATTATTATTCATAATGCGGATAAGGTTAAGATCGGAAATATGTAATGGATGCAGGGCTCTGTTCTAGAATTTAAATCAGACCAACTCCTAGGTGGGATTGGCTCGGGAAGGGTAAAAGATCTAATCTCTCACAACATTAGATTATGGAATGTGATGTGCCAATCATCAAGGGTAGATTTGAATGGATTACGGCTCAAAAGATTCTAGATATGGAGTTACCTTCTTGTGAGTAGAAGGATGTTCTTTATTGGGGAGGACATTCCTCTGGAATGTACACTGTTAAAACATGATATGCTTATCTAATGCGTGAGTTTTCTTTAAAACATGAGGATTTAGGAGATACTGTCTTTTACAAACTTATTTAGGAGATACTGTCTTTTACAAACTTATTTACAAGCTCAAATGGAGCTTATTCTTGTGGAAGCTCGATACGAATGGTTTGGCAGTTAAGTCAAACTTGGCCAGTGGAGGGGTGGATGTAGAGGATACGTGCGACTCATGTGGTATGGCGACAGAAGATCTGCAACATTTGTTTAGGATGTGCTTTTTTGCGAGGTATGCTTGGAAAAATTGTCCACTGCATATTTCGTCTGATGCTGATGAATCTACTCCTGTGCAACGGAGAATTATCTCCTGCTTTTTAATAGCAGGGATGGGAAGAATAGTGAACGGATTAATATGTTCATCGGGGTGCTTTGGAGCCTTTGGTTGACAAGGAATGGAAGGGTTTTTAACAATGAGGGAGGGTTTTTAACAATTAGGGAGGGTATCTGGTGGACTTATTCATGTACTACAACATTACAATGCGGAAAGGCTGGAGGATAGATGCTCACTAACAACTAAGGGGATGGGGGATAATGGTGCACCGACGGGTTTTGTTAGAGTTAACATTGGCAGTGAAGATGAACGTTTCATTGCTCGGGATGACAAATTAGAGGTGACCGTAATGGTGGATGGCTCATGGCATAAGAGTACGGGGAATGTTGGCATGTGCTGGGCTTACTCCTTTGACCAAATAATCTTTTTGGAAGGTGGAGGCACTTTCGGAAAAGCGCTTTCATCTCTACATGCGGAACTTCTGGCTTGTGTAAAAGCTATCCAATGGGCGAGACTGAAAGGGTACCAACAACTAATTGTTTTTACAGACTCCCTAGATCTTATACAACTAATACATCATCCAGAGAAGAAGGGAAATCAGGCTGCTTTGGACGATTCAATATTTGATACAATCAGGGAAGCTGTTGAGGAACTATATCATTTGGAAAGTAGGAAGGGACTAGATTACACACGCCCATGAGATTGCTAATATGTGTAGCAAGTTCAGAAGTTGCGCGCGGCACCTCCGCGCAACTCTGTGTCTTGTGCGCACCCACTGTTCAACGTTGACTTTGACTCGTTACGAGCAATGTTATACGATGAAAACGATATTGTCGCTTCAAGGTTAATCATTAAGTAGGTGCTAAAATATCACTTTGGCTAACAACGCTGTTTAACTTAGTTACCTTTACTTTGATCGTCTTTTTTTTTTTCTTTTTTTCAAAAAATAAAAAAATATATATTAATTATCATTCTTTTTAAATTTTCGTAAAAAAAAAAAAAAAAAAAAAAAAAAAAAAAAGTATGTGGCAGATGCTACTCTTGAAGTTGCACTTTCCACCTTAGCGTAAGATAGAAATTTGCATGCGATACTATTTTTTATTATGATAATTCGTTTACATACTTTATAATCGAACTAATAACATTACTTCTTATGAGGTTCGTCATTAGAAGTTTGCATCCCTTAATAGGACGTCATCATTATGTTTATTCTTAAACGTGCCTATTTTCATGTTCATTATGTTTTAGTTGTAATTGATCAACCTTGATTTAAGAGTATAATTTATATACCTCTTCTAAGGTTTAAAATTTCATGTTCATCATGTTTTAGTTGTAATTGATCAACCTTGATTTAAGAGTATAATTTATTTACCTTTTCTATGGTTTAAAAAAAAATCCCGAGAACCTTACTTGGGATGTTTGCCACACAAAGTAAAAAAAAGAGAGAGAGAGAGAGAGAGCGAATGAAAAAAAAAAAGAAGAAAAAAAAAATTTCTTAAAAAAAAGGGGAAAAAAAAGTATGATAAAAAATTATTATTCTAAAAAAAAGAGAGAAGATATTTAATGATAAAACCGAGAAAATGATTTAATTATTTCTTGGATTTTACATTCGGAGGCCATCATTCTTTTTAAGCAAATAGTAATATATTATTCTTTTGAAGATGAGCAGTATGAGAATGATAATTAAAAAAAAAAGATATAAATCTTTATTGTAATCTAAATGGTCAACAAATACCATAGTATATTTGATCATTTTTTGGAGTATGTTTGGGTTGATTAATATTCCTAAAAATTTAATGAGCATTTTCAATCCAACTTTATTTTCTTTCTCTTCTACCTTTTTCGAAAACAATATTTAAACTAAAATCTTTAAATGATTACCTTGCTGAAGTCAACACAAATCATGAAATTCCATTAATAATTGTTCATGAATTTTTTGATATTCTTCATCAATAAACTTTCTTAAAGCGAATTCATATTACAAGGATTAAAAAAAAAGAAATAAAACAATTATTTTGACTTTGATCCATTGTTTGAATGCTTGGTAGAAAAGATTTAAGTGAACGCGCTCAATTTCTCGTAATACACATTACTAAGTCATCTTCCACAATCGCATACTAGTCCAATCATGGGTGACAAAGCAGCATTGGAGAAACTTAGAGTGGAACTCCAAAACCTAAAGGCCCTACGAGAAGAAGAAGCCTAAATGAAGGCTCATAAAAAAGCTATAAAGGCTAAAATAAAAGCAGAGAAAGAAAAAGAAAACATTCTGCAAGAAAAAGCAAGAGTCAAAAGAGTAAAGCCCTTGTAGAAACTTGTCCTTCAAGCTAACTCAGGGAATAAGTACTTCAATTATGAGCTTGCACCACAACTTAGTGGCAAGACTCTCCCAGAAAAGTTCTTGACTACGGATTTGCCAACCTTTAAGGTTACAGACAATCCTAGGACTCACTTAATGAGCTTTATTAGAATTATGGCATTGAAAGGGGTTGAGCCAAGCTTATATGCATGTACTTTTTCTCTTTCATTGGACCCAACTGCTAGATCATGGTTTTATAACCTCGATGGAAAAAAAACTTCCACTTGGAGTGACGTGGTAAAAGAGTTTTGAACCCAATATGGAAATAACATCGAGCTCACAACTACCTTGCACTATCTTGAATTGCTTAAGCAAGGGGAAGAAGAAGGGTTCATTGACTTCTTTTCCAAGTGGCGATCAAAGGTTGCTCTTCTTTCAGAAAGACCTCCGGATTATGAACTTGTCCCAAAGTTCATAGACAATATGTCTCCACCATACAAGTGTCATTTACAATACCTTGGTTTAGACACATTTCAAAAAGTCTATATTGTGGGAACATTTATTGAAAGGGACTTGATAAATAAAACCATGAATCATATAGATGGACTTGATTTTTAGAGAGGATTTCACCTATGTTGGAAACGGACAAAGCTCGAAGACGCAATCTCAAGAAGTTGTCAACAATTCAAGATGTAGCACCCTAGGTCTTGTTTTGTTTCTTTCCTTTGTTTTTAATGATAGACTAGGAGATTCATGCTGTGGAACACACTTATTTTGTACTCTCATTAATTAATGAATAAAAAAAT